TGACGTGGCTGCAGTTGTTTGACTTTGGCATAAACTGCACTCTTCCGTAGAGGTTTCGTGTACACAGTCAATTGCGAGCATGAGCTAACAGTTAGTTATTGCGCAGTCTCGTAGTGGCACATTCAAATAACCGAACCAGCCGACGAGGCTGACGGAGTAGCGACAGGCAGGGGGAGTGGACGTAGACTGATGGCTAAGAGGACGTGACGTCTCTGTTTTTCGTGCGACACACATAGGATGGTGTGTGAAGAATGCTTGATATTGTGCACTGGTGGACGGAGAGGACAAATGGGAGAAGATTAAAGTACACAGAGTGACTTGCAAATACGCCAGAAGATCCTGCTGGGATTAAGAACGGGCTTGCGCGCATATTAGGGGCTTATTTTAAGGTTCCTTTTTATCAAAATTCCAAAGGAGTCCAGGTCAACATGAAGAACCAGCGTATATGACCGGCAACAGACACGCTGAGATATCACATTTGGCCTTGATTTTAGGCAACGAGCCATCATGATGCGGCGTAGTCGTGCTGAAAAATACTTGGCATTCGGGATATGTGCTTTGTCTAGTTTCCTCCAGACCAATGTGAGACATGGCAAGACGATGATTGTTATAATAGGAGCCTATTGAGAATCGAGCGATGTGCGTCGAGGTGATGCACATCTTATTTCGGAGTTGTCTAGGTCAGTGCAGAGCAAAGACAGGTTGTGGCTGTCCCTGTACATACACGCCCGCTGCTTCCTCCCACCTCACTATGAGAAGATATATTTAAAAGCCGAGGTCCAATCATGTGTTCAAATATTTAATTTCAGGAAGGCGGAGGAGACGCAACCGTGGAAATACGAATTGACCTTTCAGGTTCACATCAGTGACAGCATCAAATCATGGCGAATGATGCAATCCTTGTGCATGCTTGCGCTCCCTGACCGCAGGCCGGTGAGCCAGATGGCTGAGCAATCATCCCGCCAGCATGCAACAGGAGTGATAAGATTTCAGCAATTGACAACTTGCATGCAGTCCATGAAGCAATTAGCGCACCAGCGGGCAACAATCCTCGATGAGGGGGGGGAGGGCGATTAATTATCATTGGGATGCAGTGGCATAGCGACTGCAGCCTATAAATACTGCAACCTCCCGTGCGCGAATCACCCGTTTCTGCTACTGCCTCTGATGATGGCTTCGAGAGAGAATCCGAAGCGTCGGGCGAATAAGGCTCTAATTCCAGCGATCGCTTCTAATTCTTATCAAATGACACAACGCCGATTGGCGTCAAGTCGTCTCCACGACGTGGCCATGTCACGTGCGTCGCATATGGCAGGAGGTTTCAGGCTGACAGAAGGCGTCGTGAGACAATAACAGACTGTCGACAAGGAGAACGGACTGCCACAGGCAAACAAGCTCGCCTCAAGCGCTGACTGTCCTACCACACAACATCCCAGTCGCCGCCACCGTCGCAGGGCAGGTTAGTTATCATTTTTTCTACTCTTCCTTCACATGGGAATTTTCTTATATTTACATCTGTCGGCCTATTTCGCAAATTGCATACATACATTTTCCCCTCTTTGATTATCTGAAGTACAATAATGAGGTCATCGTTGCTCTTTAAATTTCCTTAGAAATTGACTGCAAACCTGGAGTACATCTGCATCCTTAAGGTCTATAGGCTCACACCAAAGTCTGTATGTATGAATATTTCGGCCGAAGTCCATTAGCCATGTCGGTATACTACGCTGGCAGACTTCTGATCTTCTGGTCACCACAGTGATTGACCGATATCATGAAATATTGGCGGAAATGCTTCGATTGGGAAGAATTACTTGGGTGGGATTGTAACATTGATTATCATTCAGCATAACGCTATTGAATTTCGTACTCGACAGGATGGCGCCATTTGAATGCACTTGCTTACAATCTTCTGAAGAAACCACGCTGGTTGAAAAATGACTACATAGTTAATATGAATTTTTCACATCAATTTTCGCTGACAAAATAAATTTAAATACATTATATAGAAAAGGCACAAAATATGCTTTCATTTAGTTGTTTGGTAGAAGGTCACATCCTCTTTACATTTTATACCCCAAGCAATTTTATCCTTCGATTTTACCAAACTTTTGAAGTACGAGATTTCTAAGCCCGTACGATGTCCATACATACAGCATGGCACATATCAGTTTCACAGTGCTCCTCATGAAATGTACAACATAGTCCACATCCATTGCAGAATTTCATGAAATCCATATAGTATCTTCTTAAGGGTATAGAGGAGTATGTGATTTTCCTTGCACGGAAAGCGTACACCTTGCAGGCTGCCATCGCTAAGCGCTAATGCAGTGGCAGATCAGGCTCGAAATGATTCGGGAATTGAGAAACATTTTCAAAACTGAAATACACACTTTCGGGTATAAAATGTGAGCACAATGTGGTTACCGACCAAGCGTGTAAATGATGCATATTTTGTGCATTTCTTCTACAAAATATATTTGAATTTATCGACACAGACGAAAATAAATGTGAAAAATGCATGCAGAATAAGTGATCATTTTTACTGGGTGTGGTTTCTGCATGAGGTCGAAAAGGAGTGCATTCAAAAGGCGACATCCTGACGAGTCCGAAATACTGCAGCGTTACGCCGTATGATAATCGATGTTACAACCCCACCTAAGTAATCCTTCCTAACCGAAAATTCCATTTAGAATTTCGATCAACATTTCATGAGACCGGTCACGAGCTGTATCTGCTTTGCATGCCCCATTTATATCCACTGTGGATGGAGGCCTATTTGCTGAAAATTTTGTAATGACACTTGCGAAATGAGATCTATCGTGCTCCCTCTCTCTAACACAGGCGAAAGAACGAATGATGTTATACAAATGCGACTGACAGGCAGAGAAGGCCTCGATGATGCCGACTAGATCAGGCATGATCGCAGCCGTACCATTTAGAAGAAGAGGAAGACATGAGGGGCAGACCTACACACATTCTGTCAGCTGGATGACACGAAAACCATCTTTTGATGTGGGGGCGGTTCTCAGACCTTAATTAAATCAACATGAAAATATCAGACTGAGCCCCGAATACGAGACTGAACCTTTACGAGATCGTACTATATTTGGACACAAAATTGCATTTTGCATCAACAGCGACCGAACTGGAACGCGAACCTGCGAGAAGAGACCTACATTGGAGTAGGATAAAAGACGGTGCCCTCTTAAGATTGGGCATGTCTTCATTGATATTGCATCCACAGTTAAATAGTGTTACAGGTCGATGCGCCCTGTCCGTCTGGACTAATTGCACATGTATCTGCATTTATGCTGCACCAGATAATACAGGACATTTTGCAATTTTAAAAATCCACCTACAGCTTCTCCTATCGGAATCATTGTAGAAAGTGCATGTTCAATCCCCATTGACCTGGTGGATGCTGAGGACCGCTCGTCTCCTCTCTCCTTCCCATTTGGCCTGAGCAGGCCTCGCCGCAAAAATCAAATGTGTGGTGCCTACGAGGAGGCCCTTTCCGTCAGCATCCGCTATCTG